TCTATGATGAGGATGATGATGATGATGATGATGATGGGTGTGAGTGTGATGAGGGGATTGACGATGATAGTGATTTAAGCATCTGAATTCATAACTAGCAAAACAATAACAGCAACAAAAAGGAAAATCATAATAAATTGAGTGATTTGTAAATCTATTGACGAGCGACGCTTAGGGCCAAAACGGTAGTCATGGGTGGGGTGGGAAAAGAAAAAAAAAGAAAAGAAATCGATTTTTGATAGGCAGCACCAAATATCCATAAATACGTATATGTATATTTATATGAATCTGTGGCCCGAGTGGACCAGCCCAGCAATCAAATGTCTGCAGGTTTTTTGTCTTCACGTCGTCTCGAGTGAATATCCTCAAAATGGTGGTGAGGGAACAAACGTTTATGGAATCATATTCGTACAATTAGGTGCGGATTGAATAAGAGAATAACTCTCTTTTAAGAAATTACCCATTAGCCAGTCCCAGCCAGTCTGGGACTAGACATCTTCCATACATCCACGTCGAGTTGGATTCTTTAATTGCTGTTTGATGGTAGATCTTGAAGTGATACGTTGTAAGATGTGGTAACTTTGAATGAATTTTATTCCAGTTCAATGCTATAATTTGCACAGATATCTATCTGCTGGCACTGCACACAGATTGAGCGAATCCTTAAAGTGTTATATTTCCATCCTTTTTATATCCCACACCTCACTGCTTTGGTGACCTCCAAAGAATCACATTCTGAGTCGATTAACGCATGTCTGTCTGTACGTCTGTGTGAGAGATGGTGCAGTTGTTGGATTCAAGAACCACATCCATTGAAGATGCTAATAACCGGTGCACATAGCTCCCATAAATGTCTTTATCCGATTTCCTGTTTATTATGCATTCAATACAATGGATGTTGGCACTTAGTACCGACATCAGTCTAGGAGTAAGGGAACTAATGAGGATTGGTGGCTCTTTCCGAAACCTAGGTATTCCCTGACTTACGCCCTGGTAAACATTACCATCGTTTTTATAAAAACAACAATAACGCGAGCCTCACTTTCTTACAACAACAAAATACTACGGTATTCCGAACAAATATACCAACACTGTTCTAGTAAGTCCTTATAATATATCCACCATATTATATCGGTTCAGGTATAATTAATAGCTCCTGAATATATGTTTCATCCGACTTTATATTAAGACCTTCTTAATATATTTGTTACGTGAGATCACATATTGCAGAAATTGCCAGCCCCGTCCGACTTCTGTCCCTTACTTTCCTCGTTAGTTATGAACAATGTGTGGATGTTTGAAGAAACACTAACACATATACATACACACATACATAGCAACCCATGTTAATGTATTAACGTTTTTAATTTCGCAATTTTAAGCGGCTACAAACAGCTTAATGGAAAACAAAACACAGCATGCTTGTTCATCCTGCATGTGTGACGTGGCCCTTACTACCCCTCCAAGGAGTGCTGCCGGCTAAATGACATAGCCTTCGCCAAGACAATCTTTCACACGGAGATAGTCACAGGTGTTCGTTACAACAAAACACTTAGCAATGCTCGGTTTCCCAGAGATGCATCCTGCAGAGCAGAGACAATCCATTTGGAGTTGGCTGGTTCTTTACGACACAACTGTCGCTGTCACCCTGGCCGTAAGGAAGGGGTTTATGTGGCTCACTTTAGTCAACTCTTTGCTGTTGCACTCTCGCAGCTGGTGTTTTCTGAAGTGGAACACTTAACGGCGAGTGGGGAATGTGTATGGGACCAGTTACATTGGCATTGGGTGGGGATGGCAAACAGACAGTCATACCCACTCCATAGCTGAGGAGGGGCAATTGCTTGGCTTGGAGACTTTTTATTCAAAAAATTACAATTTCTGCTGTCCTTGCCTCCGTTGTAAATTAATTTAGAAAGCAATCTCAATTTTGAAAAGTTCTGACCGAATGTCCAAGAACTATGTTGCCCCTCACATAGCCACTATCAAACGTTTGGCAATTAGGAAAGTTTACTTAAGTCGTTGGGGTGTTCTCTTGTCATCTGCATAGACCAACGATTGCAGGAAGCACTGAAGAGTTGAATTGTCAAATGACAACCACACTCTAACGCCATGAACCAAATTGCTGACCTTACGAGGAGGATAGAGGCTACAAGAAACAGCTAAAATGAATTGGATTTTTGTTTTGAATCGCGTCTTAGAAAGGAGCTTGAAAATGTAATTGTTTATCGTAATTTTAACCATTTTTTACTTTCGATAAGGAATGTTCACATCAGATGTCTGGTTAACAGAAATATGTAGAATATATTTAGTTTGAATAGAATCGCTGACTTCTTTCGAAAATTCTATTAAAATTGTGACCCTTTGTGAGGGAGTTAGCTGAAGGGATAAGCCAATATCTGTCATTTTCATACCAGAACTTGCTTTATGTGAAATTTGAAGAGAATCGGATGCTTATTTTGCATTTCACGAGAGTTATAATTATTCAAAATTTAAGGAGTGGTTCGACATGATCCATTTTCACCACAGATATTGTGTTGCTGTTAGGTTGGTATTAGGCTGTGTACAATTTGAAGACAATCGGACTATTATTTCAAATTTTGGACCTTTGTGGGGGAGGTACTAGATGGGTGGTCCGATGGAAAAAATATTGGGATTCGCAAAGTTTGAATAAAATCGGATGATCTTTTCTCGTTTTATACGGTAAATTATTTTTTGTGGGGTAGGTACGAGAAAGAGTGGATCGATTTTGTCCACCTCCGAACTCGATCTAAGTTTGACAATAGTATTACGATACACCATGTTTGGAGAAAATCGGACATTCCCTTCGAGAGTTATCGTGTGCACCAGCCAGACAGACGGACGGACCTGAAACGGGTTTGGTCCAAGGAGACATCGGGTCTGAAACCATTATTTCGATGAGGCACGTTTTGGTCGTATTAAATGATATATACCCTCTGCAGCCATATGGCTGAGGGTATAAATATCTTCTGCGGCTCTTAGAGGCTAAGGCACAATCGAACATGTTATGTTTTGATGTGTGACATTACGTGTTTGGCCGCTTTAATTCTGCCGTATCCTATGTTTCATATTTATTCATGATTGCCTGTATATGTAGGTGTGTGCGCGCACTTCTTACGGTTTCCACTACCACTGTCCAGGTGCGCTTGCTTCTCAATATTCGCAAGTTCTGCGAAAGCTTAACTTGTGCTGGACAACGTGATTTATTGACACTTGCGGTAAGTGCTGCCTACAAGCTGGACATGAGAAATTGAAATTGAACACCTGCAAATGCCCAGCATCTGAAGTAGTCCACGAGGGAGAAGGTAATTCGTGCGATGCGATGGGATAATGGGTTATGTGTAAAAAGTTCCTACTGAAGCGACATGTGACCCAGCCGATTTTAATTGACGGCCAGGCATTTCCTGGAATTGATTCAGGAGGTCGACGAATTATCCTGGGAGGTCCTAAGCCGCTATTGCATCAGTTGAAAAATGATTTGTTTATTTCGTAGACTTAGGCCACTTGGCAATTGCAGCGAAACCTTCCATCGATTAAACCCTTCCAGCCATGCATGTCAGCCATTCGCTTTCATTCAAAAGCCCGCTGTTTGGCACTCGTTGTCCCTGCCAGCCGATTCAGGATTTATAGACCGGAGGATGGCGGGCAGAGTGTAGCTGTGTGGAAGCATTTTAATGCGACTGCATCGTCTGAAGTTCGTTCTGCTGAAGTGTTGCATTTTAATGAAGTTTGCGGAGGGATTTATTTGCCAACCTTTGCGGCTTGTCGAGTGGTTGGTGGTGGGACAGAAGGCAGGCGGCAGAACAAATGTGGCAGAAAAGTGAGAGATTCTCATTTGTTTTCCGACTCCTTCACTGTTATTATCATAAAGGATTTATTATGTGCATTTATTTGAATCCATGAAAGATTTAAGGCCTCACAACGGATTTCAATTCACTTGGCACTGCTCCGCGCGTGTAGGTGTGTGTGTGTTCTCGGACAAAATGTCAAGGGTTTCCTAGTCGAAGTGAAGGGTGGCGGAGCAAGGCAGCCAATAACTCAACAGGATCGATTGTAAATGAAGTCAAGTGTGCCCTAGACCGTTGTCTGAAGAGAATTAAGTTTGTCATTCCGTTTGTAACTTTTCGGAGCAATACTTTAAGACCCGAAATAATAGTTTTTAATTTCCCATTCTGGATTCCTCTTTCCACAAAAAATATCAACATGGCACAGTGGTCCCGGGCCATGTTTTAATATATCAAAAGTTTAATATTCCAGCAATATTTTTTAGCTTTTAGCGCATTTGGTAAACCAAGATTAGATTGAATTTTATGGTTTATGGTACTATCGACATTCTGTACTCAAAGACATATTTATATTTCCGCTTCCAACTGCAGTAGAAATAAACTCTTAGAATTCCCCCTTTTTTTAGTATTTTTTCGCAGTATACTACTTATAGCATGACTTGGCACTTTCAAACTATTTTTCATAAGTGTCTAGGTTCAGCTCCATATATCTGCAAATGTGGGTCCTACTCGTGTTTTAAAATTTCACTTGCACCTCTAAAATACGGCGAATATGGAGGTATCTTCTAGGGGAGGTATGCCAAACAGTGGGACCTTTGTGATAATTATTTGCAGGAAGGTATATTTTGTACTCAGAACCCAAAATGCCACATTGCTTAAAAATCGGATGATAATTTTTGTCAAAATCACGAAAATTCCTCAAATCGCGGGTAGAGTTCTATGGGAGCTATAGCAAAAACATGTTCAATGTTGACTACTTTTGGTACATCAATTTGGTAAAGGAAATTTCAGTGGGAACCTAAGACTTGCTTCTGCTTAGCTAAAAAGACATGACTAAATTCCAATGTCACTACTACTTGTCACTACTTGGTACGCATAAAATGCTTAAAAATATTTAAAAACTAATTATTACTATTATTTTTATTATTATTGTTATTATTATTATTATTATTATTATTATTATTATTATTATTGTTATTATTATTATTGTTGTTATCATTATTATTATTTTTATCGTTTTGATCAATTTAAAATCGAATCTCCCCTAGTTTAAGATGTTACACTAACTAAAGAAACAAGCAATTACATCTGCTATAGCTCAAGTATTCTCCCAATAAAAGCGTCTGGCATGCAGTTGCTCTATGGTCCATTGGAGGATGGACGTTTTCGGTCAGCGGTGAGGGTAGACAGCTGTCACTTTAGTCCTCCTCGTGTATAGTCTGAAAAGAATGAAAAACAAGCAAACATGTCCCAATGGTTAATGGCCCATTCGTCAAAATTTGCCTCTGGCACTGACCTCCTTTTCGAAAAAGTTGAGCTCCTCAAATACTTTTAGGGATCTGGCTATTACCTCGTCCTTGTAACGCCACATATTTGTATCGACTACTGGGTCATTGAGGGTCTTTCGAATTAGCGGCTCTCGGTAATGCTGGAGCTGCGCATCAGCGGCATCGAACGAATAGCTGGGACACACATCCCAGGAGTAGTGCATCGGGAAGTGGTTGTGCGTTGCTATGACCCAGTCTGTGTTGTGTAGGCATTTGGTGGCCCATTCTGGGCGGATGTGCTCTCTCACCCGATACACATGCCGCATCATGTAGAAATACTCGGGAATGTCGGAGCTATAGGTTGGCTTTTCCGGATACTTGGGGAAATAGACGCAACGGAAGCAGAAGCTGGCGAATCTCTGACAGTTCTGGGTGTGGATATGTTCGCCATACTCCATCAGGTCGTGCCAATTCGAAAAGTTGCCAACCGGCGTTGGCAGCTCGTCGATGTCAATCACGGCCACATGCTGATATCGGTACATGTTCCGATACAGGCAGTCATTGTAGGGTACCACCTCGTGCAGGATGTATCCATAAGCGTTTTGCGCTATTTGCAAGTGTCGGTAGTCTGGTGAGTTTGCCCCCTCCAATGACAAGCTGAAGGGCAAATACTCCAGGAACCCGGTGCGCTCGTAATAGTTTAGCACCTTGGTTGTGTTCGGGTGCACCTGCAGTTTGTACATGGTCACCTTCTCGGCGCCCAGTGCACGCAAGGTTTCCATAAACTCCACAATGCGATGTGACATGTCGCCGTATGGATAGTCCAAGCCCTTGACACACACGGCAAAACCCTTCTTCTCCTCGTGTTCTCCCAACGGCTGATAGATCACCCTCACGTTGTTGGTGGCCTGGTGGCAGGGCGAGGCAACCAACGAAACAGATTTAGGTACCCATTTGTAGTACTTCTGGGGAATAATGCAAGTCAACAAGTGGGCGTAGTTGTTCCCCGAACCATGACCCCAAGCATACAGCCAAATGGGGCGTATGTTGGTCACCGGTACAATCTCCGGCTGCGACTGTTCATCGTACCACAGCTGGCAGTAGCTGGCTGGATATTCGTTGGAATGTTGTGGCATGAAGTTCATCATGGTCAAGACCCGGACCACATGCTTACCACCAGTGATGGTTGGCCTCCGGTCTAGATAAGCTCCGAAAATGAAATTTGTGACATTGCCATTGTGGTACTCCTGCCAGTAGTCGTTGTGAATGCGTACCTTGTGGAACGTCGGGTACCATGCACACGAACTGTTCAGATTGCGCTTTCCGTAGTCAGCATTTGTGAGGTCCTCAATCGGTAGAAACGGTATTTCCCGGCCAATATTGTCATATATTTTCGATTTGCTCGGACCTGAAAATGTTTCAATCATTAGCTTTGTCTACATGGTCAGGGCAGGGTCCATCCCTTTGCTGGTGAATCGTAAAACCTTACCATCTCTTCGATCTATGGACAAGCGATCTCTAACATTAACCACAACTGGTTCACGGCTCCAGACTTTGGTGCTCCTATCCCATTTCGCCAGCAGATTTTCGCTATTTAGAAATGTAATCACTACCAGATTCAGCACCAAAAGTATGACAAATATCCGACCAACATATTGGTTTTTATTCCACATTTTGGGGTAGGGACCAGAACACGTTAGAAGTGCGACACGTTCCACGATGTACTGACTCATCAAAAGAACCGCATACGACGACACAGCATCTCTGTCGACCATCAAATATATCTTGGGAAATCTTGGTGTTCGAATTTGATAATTTGGCAATGCCTTTTTATGTGAATGCGTTGTCGATAACGATTGGGACTGAGGCGGAGTGAGCGAGAGAGAAAGAGAGAGCGAGAGAACGAGGTCGTGGACTTATGGTTCGAGCCATTCACGCCCTTGTTTGTGCTTCACAGAACACCTACAATGTGGCTGATTGATTTGAAGATATTGGCGGTTGAGAAATACTTCAATTCATGGTCGTCATTGTTAAGGGCTGCGATATTAAAAGTGATTGGGGGCATTTAGTCTTTTTTTGTTTTCAAACGTGGTGGGTGGAGGGGTGTAAAAAGACAGACGACGACAGAATCGGGACAGTGAACACTAGATGTGCGATCACGAGATCAGCAACATTGTCCTCGGTAAGTGAGACAACAATCAATCGAATCCTGAAGACTACTTCAATAATACGGTGGAAGCCCTTTGTACGTTTTGTATGTCCTTTCATTATCCTTGAATATCCCCGTAGTCGGCTTGAGTAGTTATCTCGTAACTGTAGTTTTGGATGTCCCTGTGGTCATTATGTCGTCACAAATGTTGCCCATACATACGAAGTGATTATGAATTTTTGTAGCAACTTATTTTGAATATTTTGGAAACGATTTTCGCATAATTCAAAAGAATACACACACTAACACAACTGAATTTTGCACCATAAGCCACGTTGATAAAAAAATAGAATTGATCGGTAGTTATTACCTATCTTTTAGTTATTGTATCGTGAAGAAATCTTAAAAAAAAAGATAAAAACACACAAATGCTTCACAGCTTTTAAATCAGGGATGCCAACGGCTTTAAATCGTTAAAGAAAAGTTTTTAGAAAAATTCTATGAAATTAAAAAAAAAAACGCCAGAAATAATCAAAAAAAAGGAAAGAAGGAAAGAAGGAAAGAGATACTCATGTTTTTTTTAATCCGACTTGAACATAATACAAAAGCTGAGGGAATAATACTTCGAATAAAAAGCAAAAACTAATCAAGAAGAAGAGCAGAACAAAGGTTCGATCGTAAAAGAACAAAGGGACGTAGGGCTAAAATCGAGCTAAGACTCCTTTGTTCCTCTACGAAGAAGCCAGACGATAAAGCCTTTTAGCCAGTCAAAAAAGTCTTTTGTACTCTCACCCTAAGTTTGCTGTCAGAATACGACGTAATTGTGATTGGAAATTCAAAGAAAGTCCAAACACAATAGTGAAGCACGAACAAGATTATTGTCAACTTGTGGGTTTTTGTTTGCATAAAATAGCTACAACCGCTACCTTAAACAGCCAAGGTCGCTACTGTAGCGATTTGAAAATCCGTTAAACAGTGGTTTCTATTCGTCAAAAATGTTCCAAAGTAGCGGAAAAATTACCAACTTGGCATCCCTGTTTTAAATTGAAAAGTGTATTTTGGACGAAGAAGAATCGTGCACAAAGTGGTTATTGACAATGACGAACAGCATTTTTTTGACAGCTAAAGAAGAGAATACACCTTGTTGTGAATAAATAGACTCTGATGACAGACGTTGTAATATTTCATGAGAAATGTTGGCCCACACTGCCAAAAACTTTAGATGAAAATTTCAGTGACTGACCTTACCTAATGTCAGCACTAAATCAACGGCCTGAATGCTGAACTGTTCACTAGCAACTGTGGAGGAAAGTGCACGCCCATATCCACGTGGTGCAATAGAATCGGTGAAAAATATGATTTCTGGACGAATTCAGGAGGTACCACCCATCCGGTTTAACTACGAGTAATGTTGCACAAAATGCCAATACAATGAGAGATGGCCGTCTGGTCGATTTATTTTATGCTTGGCTTACAAACTACAAATAATAAATATCCGCAACGCTAACAAAATCTTATGGCTATGGCAAAAGCTACAGGTTTTTATAAAATCAAAATAATCTATCTTAATTGGGACTTAAGGTGTGGCCACATAAGCAGCTTGGCATCGTGGCTAGTAAGAGGAGAAACGACGGCTGGATTTGCGTGCGACTCTGAAATCCCTTTATGATGTGTGACAAAATATGCCACTCGAAGATTTCAAGCTGCTCTTGTACCCACACCTTTGGTCTTGAGTAGGCTAGTGGCTGCAACAACAATTGCATCGGCTTATTTCAGCAGACCTGCTTTACGCAACGCCGATGTCGTTTGTTCTATCAGTGGCGTTCGGTAACGTTCAATACTGCGATCAGTCGTCAATTCCCGAAATTTCGGACTGGGCTTCTCGTCGTGGTAGTGCTGCAGATGGGCTATCGTTTCGGGCATGTTGAACGGCTTGCACGTCCCCATCCATTCTATGCTGTAGTGATTGTGCAGAGTCACTGCTTTGGATGTTCGATGGAGACATTTGGTAGCATCGCCCGGACGCGAATAGTTGGCCGTACGGTACGTGTGGTTCAGGTAGAACATATACGAGGGGTTGGACGAGGGCTGCGGGTTGTAGTCATCGGTGCTGTTGACTACCGGGAATAAGTCTGGATTGTGCGGAAAATACGTATTGCGAAAACACAGTGCGGCGAAGCCCTGCGTGCAGTTCATCGACTCGCTGTGTGGCATGGACGCTTGGACGATATCATGCCATGAGCGCAGTTCCCCCCGAGGCATTATAATTTCATCAACGTCGACCAGGGCAATGTACTCGTACTCGTACATGTGGCGGTAGAAGCAGTCATTGTAGGGTATCAGCTCGTTCAAACGCTTGTTGAATATTGTCGACTTCAGGATCCAGTGCTGCAGGATGGGCAGACCAACAACCCCGCCCACCAAGGTGATCGGCCGAATTTCGACAAAGCCTTCCTTCTCGTAGTAGTCCAGAAGCCGTCTGACGTTTGGATGCACATCAATCTCATACATGAAAACCTTTTCGGCTCCCAGGAGGCGTTGCATTTCTAGCCACTCGGCCAGCCGGTTTGATAGATCGATATAGGGAAAGTCCAAACCCTTCACGCACACGGCGAACGTTGATCTCGCCTCCACCTCCGAGGGTTTGTTGAAGACGACATTCAAGATGTTTACTGCAGTGTCACACTGATGAACAACAATGGAAACGGCCTGGGGAATGCCTGCGGTCTCGTTCGTATTCGACGACGTCTTCGACAACGGACAGGTCATTAAGACCGGGAAGAACATTCGAGTCCCGCCCCACTTCCAGATGGATTTGTATTCAGATATCTGCGGTAGTTGGGGAACGGTTTGGTTTTCATACCAAACCTGGCAGTAGGATGTTGGAAAGGGTGGCTTCAGTTGGTTGACGAGTGCTAGAATTCTAACGACCGGTCCTTGTGGAACGTCCTTGCGTTCGTCGTAGTAGGCCCCATACAAATAGAACGTGAGGTTGTCCCGACGGTAGGTCTGCCAGTAGTTATTGTAAAAGTTTAAAGTCTGCAAGGCTGGGAATGTGGCACAGTTGAGAGACTTTCGCATAGTACGGTTTTGATGGCGGCGAGCATAACCGAATGGAATATTGGGCAGCTCGGCTTCGAACCGGGCAAACAATTCATCGATCGATGGCTCTGAAAATTGCAGAATATAAAAAAGGTCAACTAATTTAGTTGTTAAATACTACGACCTTTACGAGCAAAGTCTCTGGCTTTGATTTGATTGGTTTTCGCTTTCGAGGATTAGAAGTCAATCTCAATCTTACGGCTACATTTGTTGGTCCATCCGAAAAACAAAAACACACACAACTTGCACTCAAATCCGTTCACATCTTTTTATTTACAAAAACATTCGCGGTACAGAACCAGTCACAACAATAGACCACAGAATCACGCTGTGCGCGAGAGACTTTTTCAAATAACATGCCGATGTGTCATACCTCTGTTACTGTATTCTGTGAAGGCGTCTTCATCCGATAGTCCACTGCCGGCTGCACTGTCCGACATTTGCCTGTTCCATGAACTCTTTGTTTGGTTGGTGTCTCCGTTTTCCAGGTGCCGCAGGATCCTGCTGTAATAGTAGCTGTGGCCGCTGTTGAATACGTTCATCAGCAGTATGACGAACAGCCACACAAAGGCGATCATTGTTAGGATTTTCAAGGTTCTCGATTTGGGCGCCATTGCTCGTCGAATGGAAAGTGATTTCCGATGTTTAGTTTGTGGTTTCTGCGTTTTGGGGATGCCAAGTTAATCCATCCCGGTGTCTTTCTAAATAGCAACTAAATCGGGTACAACCCACTTCGAAACTATGTCTGTTTTCGTGCCGCTGGCATCTTATCAATTTCAATATTATTCGATAATTCGTGATATGTTTAATAAAGCGATTGTTGGTGTTGTTTCGAATGACACTAGGTCTAGATAAGTGTTTGGGTTTTCATTTCGATGATTAGAAATAACAAAGGTGGGTGTTGCCACATTGGGTGTACCTCCATGCATCCATCACATACATACGTACATACATGCCCACATACCACATATGTGTAATATGAAATGTCAACCGATGTCTTGGTTTTACAGCGACCTTCCAAGTTGTCCGATATCAATCGCGATGTGTTATGAGAATGAACTGTAAATTGAGAGATCTGAACTTGATTTATATATCGACAGTGCTTCCTCGTTGCAGAAAAGGAATCCATGTTAGACCAAAATACAAACACTGTCTTTACAAAGTACCGCAGTTGTTGCGCTGCACTGATAAAAGCCGTTACACAAGTTCAAGCACGATGTTCAGTTACTGCAGTAGTACTACCCAGCGTTCCAATGCCCCGCCGGTGGTTCTGAGTGATGATTGTTTGCTTTGAAGTACAAATAATGTGATTCAGAAGTTCTAAGTCAGACAGACAGGAGATGGAAGCAATTTCGACTTGTGTTGAAATAAATCGATTTGTTACATCTCACATTTGAGTAAACCGGGCTCTATGAAACGATCGCCCAAAATTGAAAAGTTCGCCCAAAATTGAAAAGTTCGTAAAATTCATACATTGTTGTGTTTAGAAATGAAATAAAAAAAAATTAGAGAAAAGAATTCATTACGGCCATATTATCCAAGTACGCCACGACACCATACCTTTGTAAAATTTGATAATTTTAGAACTTTGCGAATTGTTATATATTCCCATTAAGAATGTCACCGCATTTCAATTGGGCATATCCGGCTACTTCTTCTTCCAAGCCGACAGAGATTCATTTTGTTTCTGTCTTCTACTCGAAAGGGTCTAGAACCGTCAAATCGAAAGAAAGCGGAAACACTTTTCCATACAAATGTGAAATTCAGTCACTTGTTGTTGTATTGGCGAGCGTTTCAGAGTTCTGGAAATTTTTCGCAAAATCACAATCTGTATCCAAAATTAGACAATTATCTTTCTAGAAATCACAAAATTCGTACTCATTTATTTTATTAAGGGGTTTTTGTTCATTTGTGCATATTTATTGGCATTGGGTACTTTCAATTTAGTAGAATACCCATTGCCATGGTACAATGAAGACAAGGTAGGGCATAGCCATCACCTGAATACACTTTTTTCTTTGGTAGTCTTGTAATGCCAAATTTAAATTTATATTACAACTTTTGGGAAGAAGAACCATGGCTCAATAAGCAAGGTTGTCCAACTTCAAGGAAACTAGGAAAATGCAACTCTGTACTGGAGTCTTATTATGTCAAATAGTCTTTTTAAACATCCAACAATTGGTTTTGTTTGGAAATTCCACAAAACTTGAATGGAATATTGGTATTTGTCCGCAATATTGAATCCTGTTGTTGTTGAATTTCTGTTGTCCCTAAATTTGAAATAACTTCAATTTTTTTACATTTTTATTCAAAACAATGCACACACACATATACAAACTGGGTATATGCATTGGCAGAATAGGGACTCCAAAAGAAAATAAATGTATTTAGGAGGTAGGTAACTTCTGTAATTGTGCCAGGGAAAGAACAAACGTTTCCGTATTGGAATTGCAAGTGCATTACGAACTCGATGTTGTGAAGAAACCACGGCGATCCATTTGTTTTCCTCGATTTTCTTTTTTTGTGAAAATATGGAGAGAAAAGTGTTGTTGGTAAATTTGACGTTACAAGGCTCTAGCTTCAAGCGTAAACACCTAGCGTCTATCAGTCGACGGAGACAGTCACAAAGCGTTACATGTTTCGAACATTTCTATTTTCGACATCCCTGTTCGCAATGCACGTATCTAGACCAACAAGACGACTTCGAGATAATGGTTATCATGTCTAATATTTTGGCGATAATATGGAGTATGTGTGAATATTCTGAAGGTATTGGCATGCCATTGAAAGATCATAGTCTGGTATGCCAAGAAAATTGTTTTCGAATTTCTAACCAATTCGCTTTGTTGGGATTTTAGACAATGACTGCTGTGGAACTATTGCAGCACTACTCCGAAGAGGAGAGCAACAACTAAACGTGTCTAAACATATGTCACACATTGATGTACATACATTCATATATGGTGTTCGTATCGGACACATACTTTTTACCCTCTCTCCATATTCCCTCAACATTATTATTCAGAATTGTTTTTTGTCTCTTGAGACAGCTACTGCCGATCCTATAGCGTACTGGTGGTATTCGCTGGTTCGTTCCATAAGAATTGCCAACCGACACAGGGAAATTCGGCGTCACAAACCACCCTCGCCCCTTTATCTAGACTCTACAACATCGATTTGAAGACACAGAGTTTGTGGCCGATTTTGTACTTTGAGCTCCGACCACCACCGAATGCAATTATCTGCCGATAAGCCCTTTGTTGTTCGATTTGTACTCGTTGTGACAGCGTTTCGATATAACGACCCACTGATAAGGCCAGTTATAAGGCAGCGATCAGCAGTAATGTCGTTTTTTCGTTCACGCCATGGACAGTTTGTCGTTGCTGGTGACAAGCAACGAACGCTTTTGCCTAAAACAGCTGTGAACACCTGAAAAAGTGTTGTTCAAAGAGCGTGTGTGAGTGTCCGAAAAATTCCGCTGCTCAAATAGCGATTAATCCAAAAATGCTAGGATTCCGATTAGTTTTGGTGGCGGCGGTGGCCCTCGCGAGTGTATTTCTATTGAGCCAGGCCCAAGTGGCGCCCAATCATCAGATTGAACAGCTGAAAAAACAATTTATGCCGGCTCAGTTTCGAAATGCTAATTTGACCGAAGGTATGACCATATCGTAATTGTATTTCACTCAAATTAAACCCAAACTTATCTCTCTCTCTCTCTCTCTCTTTCCGTCACCGGTTGCAGAGGACCTGAAGAAAGTCTTCAAGGAAAAGTGCAAAAAAGCTACGGGAATCGATAACTCTACCCTGTATCAGGAAGTGGAGAAGGGCAGTGTTTTGCTCGTTGCCTGTCTCTCTGGCCTGGCCAACCTCACATCATTGCAGCAAGAGATCGAAGTGGCCCGACCACTGGGAGAGCTCGATACCGTGTTCCACAAACATTGCCAAAAAGCACCAGCGGCGGAAAAATGTTTCCGCGAATTCAATACCGTCATCCAACCGTGTCTGAGTCCAGAGGAGAAATCTCAGAATGCCGTTATGATGCGCATCGTATCGGGCCTGCTCAAATTTATGTGTGCCCGCGGAGGCGATCAAATTGCCCTCTTCGTGGCCGAAGATGGTCCCGAATGTCTGGAGGCCAACAAGGAGGCCATAGCCCATTGCGCGAACAAGTCCTTTGCCGAGTTCACACCCAAAAACAAAGTAACCGATCTTTTCAACTTGCCCGACTTCACTTTGGAGCCCGAACACTGTGTGGACTTGGCCAAGTTCGAGGCATGCACGTTGCACCACTTGGAGCAGTGCCAGGAGATCACGCCGGCCAATGTGGCCGAATCGGTGTTTAAGTTTGTGAAGAACGAAACCAGCTGCAAGGCGTTCCTGGAGGGCAAAACCAAACCCAGATCCATTTTAAAGGAGCCGAGAAGTGCTGCCCCCTCCACGCAGATCAGTGCTGGAGTTGCCCTCACGGCGCTCTTGTCCGCCGTGTACTCCAAGTACTTTGCATGAGTCCCGTAAATTAGTTCTTAAAATCCGTTGTTATGTGATTCCTTCCAACGACCCATTTGGGGTTGTTCGATTGATGTTGTTGTTGTTTTTGTTTCTGCTTTATATCGACTCTTTAGTAAAAGAAAAGTATTTATTATCACCACCAGAACCAACAACAATGTGATTTTATTTGTCAGCCGATAACGACAACAGCTAGAAAACTTCAAAGCATTGCGTATGAGTCAGGCCATAAACATAAACATTGGCCACTCAGGCATATCTTATCGACCGGGTCCACATTAATTGGTAACTGGAAAACCAAATTACTGTTCTACAGAGTCGTAACTGATAAAACACTAGACATTGATGTAATTGTATGTCCGTATATGGTGAAGATATATTTATCTCTTTAGAGCATGTAGATAGGGCGGCATTTGGGCTTCGGAAGTATTTGGGGAATTCATATCGAAAATATGCTCGAGAAATTACTGAGAAACACTAATGCCGGTGAGCAGAAATGCCATCTCTCACTCTCTGCTATTGTCATAACTTTTGTTTAATTCATGTCCGCTTGGAACTCAAAACTCTTCTTGGAGGCAAACCGTGAATAGTTGGAGATTTTATCAGTCATAACTTTTCATTTGACTCCTATCAGACCCCATAAATTATTCACACCCCCACCACTCACACACACACACACACACACACATTGCAACATTGTTGGCAACAGCCAGCCTCGAACAACGGGGGAGCAACGAAATGGCCAAGAAAAGAACAAAGAACACGCCCAAACGCCTACGCCCCACCCTCCCTTCATTTCACCCCGAAAAAGAAAACAATAAAAGTCTCATTAAATATTCATACGGCGAGGACGACGACGATGATGATGATGATGAGGACAATGAAATGCTCGAAAGTCTTACAGTCCTTCAAGGAATTCTCCGAAAGAAAGCGTTTACCAGTTAGGCAGGAGAAGGCATTCATAATAACTTGATAATGGAGACACAAAGAGAACAAGAAATGATTTATGGCCGAAACCTTTTTGATGACTTGTACAATCTGAGGAGGCACAAGCTATGGATAACACATTGGTCCGAACAGAATCAAAGTCCATTCATTGAGCCGAATGCAATAGGACGGGACGGCGTGTCAAAATGGTATCATTTGGCAATGACTTGGAGGGGGGATTCATTCGCATTTCTTGGCTAGACTGTGTAGGCTGTCCAACAGGTAAAGAGATAACTTGATGGCGAATACAATGCTCAAAGTACTCTCTAGATTCGCTTTTGGCAACATATATTATTTTATTTTCGAGTGTTGCCACCATGCCATGCCCCGTAAGGTAAGGTGAACAGGCAGTATAAGTTGTTAAAGCAAATACTGGCATCTACAGTTTTAAGTCCTGGAAACCTGTTTATATAAATATACTAAGAACATAAAAAACGCACGGGAGAGAGGTACACTTCTAGGAACTGATTCCCTTGAAGTTGAAGACGAAGAGCAACGTTTTTGGTTTGGTTCATTATATATTCTGGAGGGGCTGAAAACGATGAATGCTGGCATATATGTTGTCCACTCTACATTTAGCGCAAAATGAATGATACATGTGACCACCAGTGTCCTCTCTTGGGCTTTCGCAGATGGCACGGTGTAAGCTTCATTAACAAGTTAAATTAGGCAGCGATCGACCTTGTGTTACCAAAGTTGACACCGATACTTTCTTATCTGTAAAACAAATATAGGGTTGTTATTGTTGTTTAGAAAAACGGACAATATTTCATCAAATAATGGTCCTCGGACTATGACTATGAGAAGTATGACGGATGTCCCCATGCACTAGCAGTGGAATTTATACCACTTATACTTGTGTTGCGTTCAAAACTACCCACCTTCTCATCATAATTGAGTATTTTATACGGCCATATTACCCATAAACACCAACATCTTATCTCCGTTCAAATCAATCGAATTCGGAAAGAAAAACAAACCTCTAAAAATACTAAATTGCGTTGACAAAAAATCAAATATTCACATTTTTCAATGGGTTTGGTGCTTTTTGACAGATATTAACTCAACAAATTCTTCCGAGAGAGTAAAGCGAAGAGTACAGAGAAGTCTTTTTACTGGCTTAAGATGTCTTCGTAAAAGAACAATCAGATGACTTAAGCCAGTCAAAAAAGCTCTGTATGTATTCTCACCTTAAGGCAATCGTTACTCATTAAAAAAAAACGAGTTATAAAAAGTAAGAGAACAATATCCAAAACCTTAAATTTGAAAACTGTATTGGAATGTATGAACTCAATACAACTATATCGCCAAGACAGGCAGAGAATTGGGGACAAAAAATCTCCCACATTTTCTTATGAGCAGTGAAGACGTAAGGAACACAAGGATCGCAAGGATCGTACGGGGAGACCTCAATGAGGTAAAAACGAAAAACCTTTTACCACTAGGTAAGAAAGAGATAAGTAGGGTAACAGGCATCATAGCGGCTCATCTATACAAGACAGGATACCTAGATAACAGCATATGCGGAGCATGCGGGGAAGATGATGAAACGTTGGAGCATTTTCTGTGTCAATGCCCAGTGTTTGCAAATATCAGATCCCAATTCTAAGGGAACGATTACTCGCCAGACCTTAATCAGGTCATGGTGAATGGAATAAAGCAGTTAAATGATTTAGTTAAAGCAATTGAACTGATATAATAGACTGTAAACTGACCGCTTTTTTCAATAATTTCTTAGTCTAGAATGAACAACAGGCCTATACTGGCTTAAGTGTTTGTCCACCAGGACATGTGGCGAGTGTTTCGCCCCTCTTTTCAACCTAACCCAACCTAAAAATACAACATCCAGTAAAAACCTTCCATTTTATAGTGAAATTGAAATTGTTTTGAAATCTAACGGGGTTGTTTCAAATTTGCAATAGATCACAACTTCTCTACCAGAGGATTATCTAAATAGGTTCACGTTTTGGCGTATTCTTCTTATGTAGTCACCGCCCACTTTATATGGGTCCAATAGTCAAGTTGTCAAAGTTGAAAATGTTTAAATTAAACAAAAATAATAATAATCTTTGAAATTCATGTATTTAACTTTTGTGGGAGTCTCAAACAACAACCCCCCCACTTTGGTGTGGATTTCACCAGTGTCCTTCCGACGTTTCAGCCAGATGACAACCATCTGCCAACGGAAAACATTATTGTACAAACAATTAAACAAAATCATAAAAAACACATTTCTGCAAACTAATCCAAACTTAATTTACGGCGTACGGCGGGAAAACGCAACGACAGACAAAAACTCATCACTTGTTGTAATTAAAATCCCATTCCTACGCCAGAAGTCAGTTATTTCCCCAGTTCGGAAGAAGTTCTGGCGAGAAAAACACATTAAAATAGTTTTCCCTTTTCCGAACAGTGTGACAACGTTCCCTGATAGAATTATCCTTCTTCCTTGGAGGGAGTCGCTTTCGCTGTCCGCTTGAGTATGCTGCGAGCATGGCCACATGCCCGGTTTTTGTTGAGTCGGTGTCTGTTGTCATGATGACGACGACACAGGCAAACAACAACGACACAATACAAACCAGATACCCAACCCGCCAGACAATGGCACCCGGGCAAGGAAGTTACTCCTTAAAAAGTTGTTGCTCGACTAAAATTGCATTACCCTCATAATGAACAAACACAGAGCAGATTTACTCATTGGAGACAACAGCCTACGGCCGTGGGGCTGAGCTTGCTACCATTGGATGCTACCTGTGGCGTCAATGAGAATAGCTCTATTGAATAGAATATACAAGTAGGTGGACATTTGACAGATATCAAATCGCTACCAAACATAACCGATTCGTATCGTGAAACGAATATTTTCAATCTTCTCTTCTTCGCAATCACCCACCACAACGCCAAGGCAGTGTTGTATTCACATCTTGGCTAAATTTATTTGGCCAAAGTTTTGCATTTTATTCGCTTCAATCGCTGCATGCGAAATCCTCTGCGTATGCCTTCTCCGGTACTCGGGTGGAGGTCTTAATTTAACGCCAAGACTAGTGGCTAATTGCATTTTTACATTTTAATGCCAATCTCGCCTCCGACACTGCAGTCCCACAAATATTTGACCATCGCCTTGGTTGGTCATACGCTTGGCAATCAGGAACTTTTTTTTAAGAAGTCCGACAAAAACTAGCTCTCACTCAAGTCAAAAGTTATTGGCTGGGCTGTCGTTACAAATCCCAGAGGAGAAACTTGTCACCAACCAAAGTTTTCAGTTCTACTATGTGCTTTTTTTCTGTTTGACTAGGACAATCATCGTCGTTGCATGGATGAGAAAACTTTTTTTGGGAAAAAAAATCAAAATAAATGCCCAGCCTGTGTAACGAGACAGCAGGGTGCCGGGGAAAGACATTACTTTGAGGGTAAGGAAGAACTCGAAGGGTAACTCAGCCAAATATGGCATTTTTATGTAAAATACGTCTAGTAACCAGGAGAAGAAAGGTAGACAGAGTTCTAGTTGTACCATGTGTCGCCCTGCATCGCGCGATCTGGACCTCAACCTTCTAAAAGCAACATATGGGATAATTTTCACAGTTATGCCCAGTTTATTGCGAAGTTTCCAAAAAATTTGAAGAAATTCAAATTAAATGAGAGGTCTGTCTTTGAGTGACCCATTATGTATGTATGTGTCTCCACGCCCGAAAGAAAACATAGATTCGGTTGCTGTAAAAAAGAATATGTACACTATTGGTCTGTTCCTGAACTGCAAGAATATAAAAGTTTTCACTACGAAAACCTATTTCCCATTTATGAAATCGAAAAAAAAATGGAAAACCAATAGATTCTTGCAGGTACTGGAACATAGCATACTGTTTATAGGTACTGTTTAAGGATTCTACGATATCTAGCATGTTCCCTATAATTGCTTCCCAGTATCCTGAACAGAAGTGTTTTCCAATGAAACCGGTAGAGTCCATCAGAAACTTCAGACCAGATCCAAATATATTGCCCATATTTATTTTTCGATAAAAAATGTGTGACAAAGTGATTGTCGTTCAGCTCCATTGCTTTGGGACGTCTGTAGGACGTGCCTAATACGGCGTCCACTATTACCGAGGTTATGCCATTGCAAGATAACGTCCATTTTATTTTTGCGTCGAGAAGTCTTGTTAC